ACTCTGATTTTAGCCTTTTGTAAACGGAGTGCAGCACTTTCCATTGAAGTGATCTGGGTACTAGCAGGTCGAGCAAGTACATAACTTGGGGTTGATTTTTGAAGACGTTGAAAGCAGAGATTTTCGAACACACAGAACGTACGTGGAGATTAGTGTCACCTTCAAAATAGGCTCAGACAGCAGGCAGTACTGTGCCGGAGCCCTGCAACAAGTGGGAAGCACAAAACTCTGCACATTTTATAAAAGGCAGAAATCTGTTCACGAGAACCACGAGGAGTGAGTTATCACTTGTGTTTGTCCCTTGGGTGAATTAAACATATACTGTTTATGGTTTTACAAAAATATTAGCCAAAGTAGGGGTGTTTTAGTGCCAGTTGGAATGGAAAACAAGTGAGACTGAATTATTTACCTTCCTGTATGTCGTTACTGCAGTAAATCCTGTATTAGTTAGCAGCATTTTGAAATAAACTTGTCATTTTAAAATATCAGTGCTTTGTTCCTTTTCCCCCAACTAGATTTGTAAAAGAACCAAATTAGGCAAACAATGATTATTAAACTTCATAAATTATACAAACCAAATGGGCTTCATCTGGTTTTTACTCTCCCTCTCTCAGCTTCTCCCCATGGATGTAGTTAATTTTTACAATCCCTTTAGGGTTTGTATACTTTGGTTCAAGGAAACTAATGTTTATATATATATATATATATATATATATATATACACACACACACACACAAATCCAAATTAAATTCCTAACGTTTTTCACTACTGGCAATTTCTAATAAGATGCAATGCTAAGGAAGGTTGGCTAATGGCGAGCGTATGAGAGGGATATTTGCCCTCGAGTTGGGAGTTCGATGGGGAGGGGGTGGTGGGGCAGGCGGGACAAGCCCTGGGCTGTTTGGAAGAAGACCCGGGAGTTCCTGTGTTCCTGCCTCCTTTTTCTGTCACAAACCTGCCCTGAAGCCCACAGCTTTTCTGAGCTTCAGCTCATCACCTGTGAAACGAAGGGACTAGAACCAGATGATGGCTAAGGGCTCTTGAGGCTCTGGCAGGCTCTGTTCTGAAAGACTAGCTTGCATCGTCAGCCCAAGCCTGCCGCCACTGGGAGCCAAGGAAGACGGACTCATTGAATGTTCTGGAACTCAGCAAATGTACACGTGCACTCAGGTTTATTGTCCCATGCATGTGCCTTTGGCTTCTGCTGCTGTGCAACCATCCCAGGCTGGGTGGGTTCACCATCAGTTCCTGCAGCCCCCAGGAAATAAGCGCAGCAATGACAAGCATGACACATATGGAGGTCAAGGCTGATAACACAATCGGAGGGATGAGCAGCTGTGTCCTCCCTAGAGAGGGCGGCTTATCATTCCAGAAGCTTTCTCTCCTGACAAGCAGCTCCTTCCTGTGCCTCTCAGTCCCCGGCTTCTCTAGGCGTGCAGTGTGACACGGCCCTTTTGCCCCTCCCTTCTAGGCCTAGGTGTGCACACTTACACCTGGTCACGCTCATGCTCCATAACCACGCGAGGTGTGCAAGGGTGGAGGCCCAGGCCATGGAGGCTGGTGTCGGAAGGACATACGAAAATCTGAATTCAAACTCCCTTATCCTACACCATCTGACGATGAAAGTGAAAGTTAACCTGCAGGTAGGTGAGGCCGACGTGCCAGCAAAGAAGAATAGCTGAGAAAAGATGGGAAGATAGGAGCTGAACTCAGAGGGGAGAGACACAAGTTCACAACTTCTTTTGCCAACCTGGCGTGGATCTGGGCAGCTCTCCTCATCATGGAGGGTGGGGGGCAGGTGTCTTTCTTTCCAAAGGTCTTTTTCTGTCAGGCAGCCAGGGAAGCAGGTGGGTGAAATCAGAACTCACCTGAATGACCCTGATAGAGAGAAGCTTCCTCCCACCGCAGCTGGCATTGGAGTGACAGAATAGTCACATGGAACTTGCTCGTCATTCTGTCCTCTTCCCTCAGCGAATGCAGATGACAGTGAAACCGGGGTTCCAAAAAATAGGCTGCAGTGCCAGAAACCAAAGGCCTCTGGGTAACGAGGAGGGGGTGTGGTTTTGAGTATTCAGTAGCTTTTATATGATCGCAGTGGACAAGCTGCATTCTATGGGTATTAGAAGAAAGGTTGGAGAGATGACCTGACTTGCTGAGAATAGAGTCCTTCAGATGTGCTTTCCGGCATAACCCCCCAATAGTAAAGTGGGTTTTCATGCTGGTAGGGCCTGTTTCCCATCCTCATCCATGTGAATGAGCTTGAATTGCTCGGTTCGATAAGACGGCTGATTCATTCTGAAGTCTGGCTTGGCATCTCTTGGTGGGCCACGGAGCGTTCTTTCCTGTAGTGAACAAGCCCAGGAGTGTCAAGGCACAGCACATCATCAGGGGACAGACACCAGGTTTCAGACCTGCGCTGTGCCCCCAGGTCCAAGCCCACCCTGCCTGCATCGTAAGAACTTCAGTTGAGTAGATAAAGAGGTCCTCGTAATTATAAACTGCAGTAGGCATAACAAGAGGCTAAATGCATAGCTGTGGTTTTAATTAGCTGGTACTTCAAATTAGTAATTTGGGTTTCAGTCAGAAATCAGTGACGTTCTATGCTATGAAAGCCTCATCACTGAGCCGTTCTTTCCTCATTATATCTCGCCCTGTGAAGCTTTCAATGTAGCACCTTGCTGAGCAAAAAGGGAAAGGCTTGGAGGTCTTTGCGTGCCTTCCAAGAACAGTGAAACTCAGTAGAGATTCAAGTCCGCCTCACAAGAGAGGTGGGAATTAACTGCTCTGTGTTGTGGGTGTTAAGGCGTGTGGCAGGCACCTCAGTCTGCTCTGCAAACTTTGTCTGGAATCTGCCAGATAACGAAGGGTTGCAAAAGGTGGCAGAGCCTCCTCGCACACCCACCCCGGGTGCAAAGCTGGGACTCCCAGGCTCGCCATGCAAGCTCTGGGGCCTCCTTTTCTCTGCTTTTCCTTCCTTCAGGGTCTTCATTGTGTTCTTTCCCTCTGAGAGAAAGGAATATAATTTGTGAAGCCTACATTAAAGTACTACAGTTCTCTCCAAGCGAGAATTAAATGTGATCTGTGTGCCTGTCATGCGGGCTAGCTGGTGCTCGGTGGCTGCAAGTCTGACATCTTGTTCGTCCTTCTAGAAGCCTGAGACTGTGACTCCTGTTTATGTGTGGGGAATCGTCTGTTGTGGAAGGCAGAGAGATTAAGTGTCCAGCTCCTTGTCCTCCACCCCAATGAACTGTTGCTTTCACTGGTTTCTCCACCCGTCGCAGCATCTCTGTAACATTTTGACAAATTGCTCACAGACCTGGATGGCACATGCCTGCGGGCACCGCTCAGCAGACCTGCCCCGCCTTCACAGGTTGAGATGCTCCTGCTTATCTTAGTTCACTCACCACCGCGCATGGACAATGCCCCATGCCCCTGACCCCGCTGCCTGAGTTCTGATCCCAGCCTGGGGTTGGTGTTGAGAAACGCTGGGAGCAGCCGAGTCTGCACAGTTCCCCCTGACCCCCAAGCTGGCTTCTGTATCTGGATTTGGCACCTCTCCCAAGCTGGCTGAGCCCAGATGTGCCTACTGGGCTTTGGGTAGAACTCGAGCTTCTTTGTTCTTCCCAGACAGCGACAACGTGCTGGGAGCGCGCACAATGACTCAGTAGCTCTCATGTAGCTGCATTGTCTGTCTTCTGGAAGCATGGTGTCCCTGTAAGCAACCTATACATGTTGCCATGATTTGAAAATGGAGAAATCAGTTGTTGTTTTTCAGGTAGATGAGGTTAGCAAAGTCACTCTGAGTTGGTCAGTTCAAGGATTTCGGTGGAGAAATGTGGAAGGCGAAGTGAGGGGACATCTGACTGTCCATGTATGTCAGTATCTGCTTAAGCTGCCACGGAGTGTCCATGCTCTGTGCTCTTACTTTGCAAATTAAAATAAGGATGCTCGTGACAAACTAGGTGTCCAGGCATAGGCGCGAGGGCTTCGGATGTATTTGCAACCTGTGGACTGTATTTTTCTGTCAGTACATTGCTTGTAATTCCTTTAGCTATTATGTTCATTTGCATGTCTATTATCTAATTAAGTCTTAACATGGCAGCATTAACACGGGGAAGGAAACATTTATACTGCACCTGCTAGGCATCTTATGTACATGTATGTCATTTAAATTTGCCCTGCGTATACGGTCTCATTCTGGGTGAGATTATAATCAAAAGCATGATCAAAAACCCAACGAACAACATAATTTCCACTACTGTGAGACTTACAGATTATAGTTTAATATGCCTCCTGCTGCACGATGAACAAAATACTTACTTAAAAAGGAAGTGCTCTTGTAAAACTTTGGACATCTCTTTTCCCTGTTAGTATTTTCTTGCTTTTCTTTGTGAAAGATTTCCAGAAGGACTTCAAGCTGCCTATGGCACAAACCACAGGAAGGACAAAACACCACCAGCAACAACACAAAAAGTGTTGTGGGTGATGGTGTGGCCTGATCTTTGGTGGACCTCCACATTGTACTTACATCTACAGTGACGTCAGTAAATCTGGCTCTGGGATCAGGCTAGAATTCCACTTTTTCTGTAACTGCACACTGATAATTCCCTTCCCTCAGGACTTTGTGAATGCTCAGTTCTAAGCAGTGGGTCACATTGCAACTTGAATCAGTACTTTTCTGCAGAGTGAACTGACATATGGGGAGTCTGTAGTTTCCTGCAGGAATTATAGCGCAAGATGATTCTGCCATTGGCATATGGTCAGAATACAGTCTCTGATAAATCAGTTTCTGGTACCCACTTCTCCCCCCACCCCCGATATTCTGAAGCACTGACCAGGAGCTTCAGCCCAGTTGAAGAAACAATTCTTTGCTCTTTCGGCAGTGACAACTTGGGCAGCATTGACTTGTGCAGTTTTTTTTATTAATAAAAAGGATATGAATGATCTACATGACTAATTTGTTTTTCCTTTTGTCTTTTTCTTTTCCTCTCAGTCACTATGAACAAGACCGTAGTGCACTTAAAAAAAGGGAATGGGAGCGGAGGAATCAAGAAGTCCAGCAAGAAGACGATCTCTTTTCTTCAGGCTTTGATCTTTTTGGGGAGCCCTACAAGGTAGCTGAATATGTATGTAATTTATCTTTCTGAGAAATAGTTGCTTGTTACATTTTTTAGCGCACTAATCAACAGTTAATCTATTTTTAAAGCACCTAAATCATTTCCAAGAGAATATGTTTTACAAGTGAAATCTATGCATGCACTATCTTTGGGGCAACAGCAAGTTGGTGAGGAAGTCTTCAGAGACAAAGTCCATCTTCTCTGAGGAGCTCATAAAACCCGAGAGGGACTGTGAGGCTGCCTGTAGGCTGGAACTCTTTACTGTGCCAGGATCCCTCTGGCAAGCAGGCAGTTCCCCTGAGCTGTGCTCCCCTGGGATGACCAGCACAACGCCCCTGAAGACTTCATCAGAATGCCAATGGCCATGTCTGCTCCTCTTCCCAGTCAGTGCTCTCCACAGCAAGTTGCTGCTTCCCTTTTCTAGTGGAGGTTGCTGGTAGCTGCACAGTGGTGTGTGTGGTCTTTGCAAATCAGTGCTCTAGCACAGGGGGGAAGCCAGTCATTTTTTCCTGGTGGTGAATAATCATGGGCTAGGAGATTGCCTCAGCTGGAGAGGTCGTGTAGCTGGGTTCATTTTCTGGTGGTGTTCAGGCTAGTGTGTCGCTCTGATAACGAGCAGATTGCTATGTCTTCACGTCCCGACTTCATAAGTGACTGCCTCTCAATGTTCTATTCAGGGTGGGGATTGAGGGATGAATCTTGTTGAACTGGGGAGCTGGTTGGTTTTTATTGAAATTTAGTAACCGTGTAATTTTCTGTAATGAAATAAAAACAATATAAGAGGTCATATGATAAACGAGGACATTTTCAAGACCTGTGATTTTAGGAGAGCAGTATGAAGGGGCAGAAGCTTCAGGAACAGGAAAAATCTTAATGAGGACAGAATAAGTTAGCAGCTTTTGATTGAGACACTCAGGTGCTTTCCAAGTTTGATGAGTCTGACAAAAAGACTGCTGGTTTTCAATCTGTCCACCATATTGCAATCTAAAATTCCCTTCCTATCTCAGTGGATTTGACATCTATGCTGCTGTTCAAATATGTGGGGAGATTATTGGCTTAATGCACATTTCTTGAAGTCCTACTATGTGCTAGTGTACGAAAGGAATGAGACACGGGCCTTAACTGTGCCAAACCCCTCATCACGCCCAGAGCTGTCTGACTGATGAGCGTGTGACTGTGTGAGAACTGCCCCGATCCAGGCTGGGTGCAGATTGGTGAAGACATAGAGTCACCTCCGCCATTTGGACAGCATTCTGTGCATGAAGAGTCCTTGAAGTTGGCTCAGAGGAGTTCATGACAGGCACGGGTTGAGGAAGGGCAAGGACATTGAGACGATAGAAATGGCTATCTGCCGGCCCGCCGTGGGGGTGGGTTGGTAGAGAAGGGCTCCAGCTTTCCAACTTGGGGCGATGGTGGAATTGATGGCAGCTTGTTCACCAGGACAACAGTGTCAGTGCCTGGAGAGGAAAAGAGATTTCCGTTGTGAGCATTTGGGGGTTAAGATGCCAGTGGGTATCAAGAGCCTTTGGATGCAAGCATCTGAGTTTCGAGAGTGTGCATGGGAGGGAGGCAGGGCTGCCCTGTAGCTGGCAGTGGAAGCCTGAGCATGAGTGTGGGGCTGGTCAGATTGCTTAGTGACAGGGCAAAAAGAAGTTGTGGAGTAGTTCAGAATAAAGGGTAAAGAGGTTGCCAAGGCAGAGACCAGGAGCAGAAAAGGTAGTCAGAGCAGTAGGAAGAGAATGAGGGAGAATCATTTAGTAGAGTCCAAGAAACCAAGCACTTGGTGAAGGGCAATCAGTCAGTTCCATCTGTCAGAGAAGGCAGGACCAGACAGCGGCTGCTGGGTTTAGCAGTTAAGGGATTAATTATCTTAGGGAGGGTCGTCATATTTGCTGTTGTGGTGGGAATCAAAACTTCCAGGCTTTGGAAAGGTGCTCTTGCACCATGCAGGTAAATATCATTTCTTGCTAACAAGGACTTCTCTGTATGTACATTTATTTTTTAGTCCAAACACTGTATTTTTGAGGAGGCGGTTGAAACACCTATTAAGGGCATCGGCAGAAGTTTTTAAAAGCCACTCTCCATCTTCATATGACAGGGGTGCATCAGAGAGACACAGATAGGGGCATGGCGCCGAGTATGAGGCCAGATCTGTTGCATGGTTAGTAGCTATTGCCTTTATGCCTCTTGGCGGGCAGGAGCCTTTGTTCTCTAGTCAAGGCCACAAAGGAAAGGAAGAATGGTGGCACTTGATGATCTAGTAGTGATTCTCTTTCGCTCATGTCTGTGTTGGTGGCCGAGTGTCCTTGAGTTGAATCCATGTTCAGGCTCCCCTGGGAGAGCACTTTCTTCCATGTTACGATGTAAGAACTGTCCTCCAAAGGCTTCCCAACCTGCAGTGGTGTGGGCATCCTGGAAGTATCTGGACTTGCCAGTGGCTGCGGGCATGTTAGAACTCGCTCATGGTCCACTGGTGGAGACGAGGGCACTCCACAGCTCTTCTGCAGGGTTGTGGAGGGAATGTTCAGCGAATGAACATCCACATCCCTGCTGGTGAAACAGGACTTTCAGGAAGCTTCTGCTACCCTAGAGCCTAAAACACGGCTTGCCAACCCGCCCAGTGTTGGTGGCTCACCTGTTAGTGCAAGAACACCAGCGCCTGGGACCTATGCCCCTTTGTTGGTGTAAGGAGGAAATGGAGTGCTCTCCACACATACCCTTGATTGATGTCTTTCTTCACCTCATGTCCAGTGTGCTGGAATGGAAAGAATGTTGATCATGTCTGTATTTGGGTTTTATGGGTAACTTCTCTGTGGGGATGCTTTTGTAGCTTATAATTGTCCAATCTGAGTTTATGTTTTTAAAAGCCTTTCGAAAGTGTGAGACTGTCTGACATGTCCTGCTGGTGTGGAAAGAGTGGGAGTGATGAAAGACAGGCGTGTGTGCAGGGCCTCTGTTGTGCCAGGCCCTGTGCGAGCACGTTATGTGTGTGCTCAGAGTCCTTCCAACAAGTGGAGTATGCGTTTTCTCTTCCCCATGAGGACTTGGGAACTCAGAGAGGTAAGGTGGCTTCTCTGCATCTTCACATCCTTGTAAGTGGTGCGTGTAGCCCTAATTCTGGGCGATTCCATATCTACTCAGGAAGCTGTGGAACAGGACTCAGCAGACCTGAGAAGTCTACTGTCTGGCAGGCTTTGTGGAGGAAAGCTCATTTCTCTGGCCTGTAGTTTCCTCCTCTCTGACTTGAGTGATACCTGGCACTAATGATAGCCCCTGAATGACAACAAACATGTCTGCCTCTTCTGGATCAATAATAATGAGGACACCCAGGTGGAGAGAGATGCAGCCCCCTCCCCCGTCATCACCCCCCCCCCTCCAGGGGCCTCCTTTGGGTGGGCTGGGTGGTAGCAGCAGGGCCTGGCCAGGGCTGTTCTGCTGAGTCACCCGCTCATCTCAAGGGTCAAGGGAAAGGACCCAGGAAGCCTTTTCAGTCTTTCAAGTGCTGTAGAAATTAGGGAATTAACATTCTTATAATTAGACCACAAAATTAAATAACAACTTATAGCTCACAGGGATTGTTAGACATGTAACATGAAAAAAAAAAAAACATTAGAATTAGGGAAAAAATAATTACTAAGTCACATATACTAGCCACCATGAAAAAAAAAAGAAAAATTGAACCTCAAAACTTATTTTGTTACTTTTATTCAATAGCAATACTGTGGCACAGTAGCCCCCTAGCACATTAGTCTTACCATGAAATTGTGCGACTCATTTGTAGAAAGCACTAGAAGCAAACTGAGGTAACTGTCTTTGCAGAAAGTAATGAGAAGCAAGAAGCTTAAATAAAGGAGTGCTGTTAGTCATGAGCCACAGACCAGACATGTAATTTATGCCTGAAAACACTTGGAAAATACATTTCCTTGCTGATGGAGAAATTGTGATTACTTAGAAAATAACGGCTGCAGGGGTTACCTTTAAGGAATCAACCTATTATCTAGAATGGAAAGTAAAGAATTGGCCAAATTGAAAGAAGCCTATAATTGATTGAAATGGCTAATTTCATTTTTGCTATGTTTATCATGTTCTACCAAGACAGCTGAGAATACCTTGCTTTAATAGGAGCCCTGAGACTCTGTCAGTGGAAAAGAACATTTAGTGTTAATTTAGAAGTTGCTATGGTGTATGATGAAAGCACACTGTAGGTATCTATAAATGTATTTCAGGCCTGTTGAATTTGCTGTCCCGTGAAACTCATGTCTATGGTATGAGAACTTAAAAAAAGGGGTTGACAGCTCCCCACAACCAAAGGTGGGGAGTGGAGGGTTTACTCTGGCCCCCCTGGTGACCTGGACTGTATGATTGATCTCAGCTTGTTGAATGCTAGCTTCTTGAGGCGGAGTCTGTATGTACTCTGTGCCCAACACTACCTCATATGTGTTTTGAAAATTACCAGTATCGGTCTCATGAATGACCATGGTGATTCCTACTTGTAGCCACAGCATGTCTGTTATGTAAAGTATATGGCTCTTTCTTCCATCAGAAACTCAGAAAGTGTCAGCAGTGGACTCAACCTTGAACCGTGGCATGCAGTTTCGGTCACCGGTTCCTCTGAGACTCCTGCTCTAGGAGAAAGCTAGTCTCAGGCAGATGCCGGCCCTCCAGGTTATTCTAGCCCCAGCCCTAAGCCCTTCCTGAATGAGTAAGCACAGATCTGCAGCTAGCAGGTTTGTGCCCAACTCCACGTGCGGGCCTGTCCCTCCCTGAGTTAGACTCTTGCATTCTACTCATCACAAAAGCCATGTGAACAACATGTTTGCATCCTCTGTAAAATGAGTGCTGGGGAAAAAAGTCTTCATTTTCTTGTTTGAAGGTTCTTGTAGATCAGATTCCTGCCATCCAAGAGAATTCTGAAACCTGTGTGTTTTTTCTTTTTGTGTTAACTACCAAGAAGTTCAAAGTTCAGTTTAAAGTTCCAGCATAGTGACCAAGTTAGCTTGACTTCTTGCTTTTTTCCTTAAGTGCCTTTTATCCCACATCACATATCCTTTATTTTTATATAATTGGAGCCTGAATTATTATTTGATACTGATCAGTTCGGTAACGTGTAGTTGAATTTCTAATATGCACCAGCTATGGTACCATATCTTGAGGATATCCTTTAAGAGTTTGCGTTTTTATGCGGGAAAAGAAATCACAACTGTTGTATAGCCTGCCCTCCCATACTAGGTGGTTGACTTTCTAGACATATTCCAAGAACTTTCAGTTTCCCTCTATATTTATTCATATAGAGACAGTTAAGACATTGATCAGTTAAGATGTTATCCTAATTGCAAGCATATTTTACACCTAGAGGTGTACATAAAAATTCTAAGCATGCATCAGAAACCCAGATTGTTACATCAGTGAGTATAAATGAAGAGACATTAAAACTTAACCAAGGGTCTCTCCATTGGGTTCAAGATGAAAATGTTCCATTTATTTACTTGTGAAATGAACAGAAATGTGAGTGGCTTGCTTGAAAACAAATAGGCCATGAGATTTTAGGACCTTACTGATGTCGGCTTGAAGAGAGTGAAGGACTTCTAAGGGCTTTGAGATAGTGTGGTGGTCTCTATGACACTCTAGGACCAAGTATTAATTCTGTAGATCTCTGTTTCATGAAAGTTCAACAGACTTGAAATTTGAGCTTCCTGGTAGGCAAAGCAAAAAAAGAAAAAAAAAAAAAAAACCTCAGAAGTGATAGAATTCTCTTTTTGTCTGATAAGCAGTGTGTTCTAATTCATAAAGGGGGCAGTGAAAATGAAGGCATTTAAAATTTGAACTGAAATGTTGTTTCCCCTTATTGGGTCAGAATCTGGAAAATAGCCAGGTATTAGTTCCCATTAGTCAATCATCTAACCCACGGTGTAAACTCATGAGGGACCAGAACAACCGTGCCAGTATTTAAAGCTTGCGTCAAATTCGTCTTGGGCCTTTACACAATGGAATCTCTTTGTTTTGGATTTAGGGATTGACTGGAGAGGCCAGTTTTGGCCTCTACCCCAGTGGTTCGTTGTGCAGCTTTGCTGAAGGAGACTGCTCTATGCAAAGACTTTGTTCTGTTCCTGTCCTAGCTGAAAAGGAATTTCTGCCATTAAAATGGGCAAACCTAGGGACTCTCAAGGAACAAAGTGACTTCTACCCATCTCTGTCTATGAAATATGCCTTTGGAATGTACATCTGAAAAAGGAGCAATAGCTCAGTTGGGGATTATCTGGAATGTTAATTGTTTAATCACTACTTCAGCACCCAGACTGCGCAAGATGCGCTATATAAGATGGTCTGAAGAATAAGGCAACTGAAACGGACATGTGTTTATTTGATTTCTAAAACCTCCCATCCCTCTCCACGTATTTTCAGGATACTTTTCTCTAACCCTTGAAATCATATTCTCTCACTGTCCTCATTTCTTTGGAAGTGTCTGATCTGATCTGAGACATGTTGTGAGTTGAACGCATGATGCAGAGATCACGCTAATGACAAGGCGAGGTTTTCCCTCTCAGTTTTCTTTCTCGGTGTCCTCCTCTTTTATTTCTTCCCCCCGCAACCTTCTTCTTAAAGATGAATGATCCTGTGGATTTTCTCTCAAGCCCAATCTTCTCACTCTGCATTTTCTGTCCCTGGGAGAGTCCCTCCGTTTCTGGCACCTCGCCCTCCAGTCACCCGCACACACCCCATCTTCACCTACACAGCACCACACACAGCCATGAAGCACAGTGCAGGCTGTTACTCGGCCTTGGGCAGACACTCTGCCCGCGTCTGCCACGACACCAGACGGCGTAGGAGCTGTGTGAGAGGGCTTAGGTGCTGAACTTCTTGGAGTGGAGAGTGAACCTACTGGGAGGCGGGCCCTCTCTCTTGTGCCTGGAGCGCATGACATGACTCCTGGGATCCAGAGGGTGACAGTTGGGTGTCTGTCGCATCCAGTGCCCTGCTGCCAGCTGGCTCTATGGCCACCAGCAGCCTCCTTCATTGGAACACCTTGGCCAGGAGAGTGCAAGTCAGACACAAAGAAATCCTCTGCCCTTCGAAGTTCAGTAGCTTGTTCTGATAACACCTTTGACAGTTCAAGACAATAATAAAAAGTCAGTTTTGAAAATGAATAGCTGAGCCTCCAGCAGTCATTTCCAAGTATACAACTATCTACCAGTATCTAGTGGTGAAAGCTGTGCTTTCTGTATTCCAAAACCGCACACAGGAGTAGAGTTACTTTAAAAACATCACAGCCATTCAAGCAGGATCAGTAGACCCTGCAGGGAGTGGTTTAACAGGTACACTGATTGGCCATGCAATGACTTAGTGGCCAACCTCTCTGCAAATCTGACTTTGTTTTGATTTATTTAAGCAACATTTTCAATTCTTGCATAAGTTTTCTAAGTCATTGAAATGACACAGGAGAGCTTGAGTCACTGGATGAACAATTGCACCATTTCACAGCCAATGAGTATGAGTCATCATGAAGTAAACACAGTGGCCCCCCAATATGTAGTCAGACACCACTAATTTATACAGTCCTTGACTAAAAAGAATTAGATGTGCTTTAGTCATAAGTTAGCTCAATTAGATGTTGGTTATTCCCATGGCTATTCTACACTGAATGTAATCGTGATAGCACAATTTAACTGACGTCCTTATCCAATGGACTAAGCCTTTTTCATGGTATAATGAAAAGCGCAGAGGGCCCTTGTGTCAAGAACAAATAGAAGTCAAATGTTCCATTTTAACTGCCATGATCAGTAAGCCCAAGTGGTTAATCACAATGTAGAAAGTAACAGTCTAGCTCGTCTGATCTCAAATTAGTGATTTTGCTAATAGAATTCATAAGCAACATAACTCAAAACTTTCTCCCAGTGAGCATGTTTAAGGACAGGCCACGGCAGTAACAGATGCTAATCGCACAACTCACGCCAAGAGGCTTTCTCAATAGTGTCATTGATTTCTTCTGACATAGCACATGAAAAGTAGGAAATAATATAGCAGCATGAGAATTGTAAAGAACCCTATATGCTAGTCTACTTAGGACAGCTGTTTAAGACATTACCATTAGGAAACACAAACCTATTCATTCTCTTTCCTCCCACCCCCATCTTTTTGTGATTTTAGACAAACAAAGGCGATGCACTTGCCAACCGAGTCCAGAACACGCTGGGAAACTATGATGAAATGAAGGATTTGCTAACTAGCCATTCTAATCAGAATCATCTAGTGGGGATCCCAAAGAATTCTGTGCCTCAGACTCCGATCAACAAAAATGAATCCAGTTTTTTTCCGGAACAAAAGAACCGAATGATCACGCCTCACCAGGACAGCGCACACCCCCCGGCACCAATGCCTCCGCCTTCAGTTGTGATACTCAACTCAACTCTAATACACAGCAACAGGAAAGCCAAGCCCGACTGGCCACGAGAGAGCCACAGCGCTAGCATCACGCCAGCCAGCCAGGCCAGTGGGCAGCCAAACACACTGCAGACTTCCACACAGGACCAGCCCCAGGCCAGACTGGAAGACTTCTTTGTCTACCCAGCTGAACAGCCTCAAGTTGGCACCATAGAAGAACCAAACCCTCCTACCAAGGGAGATGGGAATGTCAAGCCCAATGGAGGGGATGCTTTCAAAGAAATCTTTCAGTCGAGCTCATCGGAAGAACCTGAATGTACAGTGCCCGCGCCTGGATCCCCATTGCTGGCCTCCTCGCTCTTAGCTCCCAGCAGTGGCCTTTCGGCTCAGAACTTCCCTCCAGGTCTTTGCTGTAAAACGAGCATGGGGCAGCAGAAGCCAACGGCCTATGTCAGGCCCATGGATGGCCAGGACCAGGCACCGGACATCTCCCCAACACTGAAGCCTTCCATCGAATTTGAAAACAGCTTTGGGAATCTGTCATTTGGATCACTCTTGGATGGAAAACCCAGTGTAGCCAGTTCAAAGACTAAACTGCCCAAGTTCACGATTCTGCAAACAAGTGAAGTAAGTAATTTTTTTAAAGTTCTGTGTCATTCTTTGTGTGTGTGTGTGTGTGTGTGTGTGTAGTTCACTATGCCAGGCCTGTAATCAAGTATTCCCAAGCAGCACTTATTTACCTTCTTGAGCCGTAGATGAGACTGTTCAAGGTCACAGTCTGAGTCTTGATCTTCTGTCACTTGTGACTTGACTGATTAATATTCTATACATACAGTTAAATCTCCTTAATTTGGAATGACAAAAGACAATGTCGGTCTGAATGAATGAAAAGTTGGAGTTATAAATGGTTTCAGAGAATGCATTTGTGGTTCTATCCTGTGCAAATGAATGTCGTTGGCCACTTTAATCGGTCTTAAGCATGCGAGGTCTATGAAAGTCACCATAGACCTTCACGAGCTGATAGCATATCAGAACTGTAAAACACAGACATGGCTTATTGTCCAAGAACCAGAAGCAGAAGGCATTCTGTAAGAATTCTAGCTTCTTAAGGGCTTGTAGGGCTGTTCCTTGACAAGATCTTAATGGTTTCTCTGTCTCTCAGTCTTACCTTCTGTATCATTTTCATGCACTGCCCCCTCCATAGTTCACTTCCACTGCCTGATCACTATCTCAAAGTAGACTCAACCTCAGTTCCACTGGGATTAGAATGGATAATCAGGAATCCTGGCCTGGAAAAAGAGAAGTCTTCAGGGACCCGAGTCTTGTCCCAGAGGAATTAATCTCTAATGACTAGATCCCGGATCTTATGGCCCCTGGGTGGGGGACTTCTGAGGGGTGGTCCTCAGATACCACCATGTAAGTGGCTGCCTTCTGCACATCGAACACTTGATTGGATTCCTGTTCCTGGTGACCCAAGGCTTGAAGACACACAGAGGAGGAATGTAGGTTGAAATCCTTCCTCACTAGGTGTCACAGTGTGTCTGTCACTGCAGAGGCCAATTAGTGGCGTATGAGTTAGAGAAGTCTTCATCTGTGCCTTCGGGCTGCTTCCTTTGTTTGTACTCAGCAGATGCAGTGATTGCAGAGGATGTTGGGAACATCAGGCAAGGGAAGACTGGGACTATCAGTTGAATTTGCTGAACCCATGTTTTGAATATTGTTTCATTTCTGAGACAATTTGGCTTTCTGTGTATCCACTCATTAAGTTTTGTCAAGCTTGTTTCTACCTAGCTCTCCAGTCTGTCACCTCTCAACACTCGTTGCCTTCCACACACCCATGGGCATCCCTACCCTGGACTTCTGTGACATGCCCTCTTTTCTCCATGGGTCCCTCCACTGTCCCCACCTGTCACCCATACAGGCTGATCTAATGGGCAGATGTAAACATGCTCTGGGAAGTTCAGTGACTTCTCTTGCTTTCAGGAAAAGTCCTAACTTCTTAGTCCTGCATACCAAGCTCTTCACTCTTGATTTCACACCCCCTCTCTGACCTCAGGTGTCACTATTGCTTTCTCTGTAGATGCAGTCACAGCCCAAAGCCCCCCTTCATGCTATGCCCTGTTATGCTTCCTTGTTTCTATGCCTGCTGCACCCCCAGCCATTCTAGAATGTCTTTTTCCACCCTGCCTTGTCTTCCTGCTCAAATCCTGTTTCTCCTTTAAGGCTACTCACTTTTTCACTTCCTCTGCAAAAGCTTCCCTGATTCCATCAGCTTAATGGCCAACCGCTCCTCTGGCTCCTTGTGCACCCGGACATGAAAGAAGCGCTTGACTGACACTTCTTTCATGGTATTGCAGTTACTTGCTTTTGTATCTGTCGCCTCTGCTAGACTGTAAACTCCTCAAGAGCAAGGAACATCTCATTCTTCTCTGTATCCCAAGTGCCTAGCAAATGTCTGGCACCTAGTAGCTACTCAATAACTGTTGACTTAGTAACTGTTGACTGAACTTAAAAACTGCTTACTTGATTACATTTTCAAAGTCATGTTAATGACATAGCATGAGCAAAGGTAAAGTATTGCTAGAAATCCCATTCTCGTTTATACTTCTTTAATTGTACTCCGCCTGCCTTTGTCTGATTCTGCTGTGCTGTGCACAGCCACTGGGAAATCCTAGCCCTTGTTTTCTTTTAGATGAGTTAAACAGGGTTGTAGTACTTGGAAACCAAAAGAAAACTGCTTTGAAAAAGGAGGACTATAATAGGAAGCTGGATGTCATTCTTGTTCCTTCTCTCACCCTGGTAGCTGCTGCGTTCCCTCGGCACACAGCAGAGCCATCCGTCAGGACCAGTCCGGAAACAGCACTTTCCTACAAGAGCGCTGTCAGCCCGCGTCCATAGCTCATTAGTAGACTGACAGGTCACACAGCCAGTGAGGTCTGCTCCACGGAATCCTCTCTCTTGTACATTCACAACATGGCTGACCCAGATTCAGAAACGACTTTGTGCTTTTGCTCAGTGCTCCAGTACACCAGTGAGAGGGCCATTCACAGAGTCTGCGCTGCCATCAGTTCTGGACATGAGTATCTAAGGAGCACCTGGCTAGGTGCGCGCAGCCCTTGGTAACGGTACAAATCGACTCTGATAGAGCCTTGTATGAAAAAATGGGACAGGTGCCTTCAAGTCACGAGCAGCAATCAGTGAGGAACGTGCTTATTTTCAAATATAGGTCTCAGGGAAGGATTTGAAAGAGGGGTAGGGAGAGGCTTAGGGCCCTAAAGTCAGAAGAATATGCAGGCTTCGAGGGTAATGCAGAACCCAAAAATAGGAGGAAAGGAAATGAGAGGTTAGACAGCCCAACAGAGTGCTTAGAAGGGTGTTGACGAAAACGCGGGCATAAATATAGACAGGCTGGAGCATTATGGGGCTTTGAACCTAATGGAATTTATGTGGCTAAAACTCTCAACAAGACTACCCTATTAAATCTTGATGCTCTTTCAAAAGCACTTAGCATTAGAATTCCGCCCTGGTTCCTGGCGCCAAGCACTCCAGGCATGGGGTTCTGGGTCCTTACTCAAGGTAGCCGTCCTCGATGAGTGGGAAGCGTTAGTTTGAGCTATTACTAACATGGCATATCCATAGAGTGAGCTCAGGGTTTCTTTGAGTATTCCCAAATCTTTCAGTAGCTCTGGTGACTGGAGGCTGACACTGTGGGTTAGTGAAGTGCGTTTGCCTGGAGTTGGGCTTTTGAATGACCAGAAAACAGCATCCTAAGATATAACAGCACCCAAATAGCATTGTATTTGTGAGCTAAGAGAGCATAAACATTTCTGGAAACGTGACGTTGGTTTGTGCTGGCCATGCTTGTTTACTTGTCTCTGCTGGCTTCTATAGTGAGGCCACTTACCTTATGTCCTGTCATGAGTCACCTTGTAGCATCTGAGAATTTCCACATCAATAATAAGAATACTAGAAGTCTAGCCAATTTTATTGCCAAAGGTCACCATTTCAACTGAAGCTTTTTCTTGCAGCAAATAATTTGTTTGCTTAAAAACTTCATGTTGCAGGAGTTAATCATGCTTTAGGTGACCCAAACGAGGAAGACGGATGTGTGCTGAAGTTGGGCTTAGAACGAATTTTCTGGAAACTGCATCTGAACATAGTAAAAGGCCTATTTATATCAAGTGGAAACTGAGGGTTGCTCACAGATGGTGTTTTATTAGGAAATGAATTTGTTAATAAATGTAGTTTTAGACATGATTTCATTACAGATGTTTTTGTTTATATTTTCATTAGGCTAAAATCTGCCAGCGTACGCAGGTTTGCATTTTGGTACAATTTATTCCAGTCAGTATTTCGGGGATGCAGATAATGGCACGCAAATGACGGGCTCAATGTCACGTACTAAGTGTTTCCATGCCATGCGCCGCCCTCTCGGGCTTGGCGCTAACGTGTGCGACAGCGTCATCCCAGTGAAGGGCGCTTGCTGTGCAGGCGGCTCTTGCTGTGACCTGAGGCCTCAGAACTGGGAGCCTCTTGGGGAGGTTTAATGGGACTGACGTGAATGCTGGGGCTTGGCTGCAGCTTCTACAGCGGCTAGCTTTTTGTCAACCAGCTCAAAAGCTAGTGGTCATCATTGTGCCGCTTTTATTTTATAGCCTATGCGGTGAACAGTATGGATGTAATTAGCTTTATTTATTGTAAGATAATGGGCAGCTCAGGTCCCTGGGCCACCAGTGCAGGGAATGTGGGAACTTACCACTGTGTGCTGGGTATGTAGAGATGGCCTACTCCGAAACCAGAGAGAGGCCCCACAGGCCGTAAGGCTCCAGCTGCTGCACGTAGCCCGTGTCACCAAGCACTAAGCACTTGCACTTGATATCGATCCTGAGTCAAATTTTTAGTCCATTCCTATGGAAACAAAATAGTACCTCGTCAGAGGCGATTGCTGGCACAGTTCCCACCCCCCTGTGACAGCGCTCCCTCTCCAGGATGCTGTGCAGTCAGGATGTTAGCATGTAGGTCCTGGCTGTGCCGGATCCGCAAAGCTTCACACCCTCTGCGAGTCCCGCCCTCGTTGGTATTCAGTTACATTTTTCTTCCCAGACATCTTCTCTTCCCCTCTGCTTTTATTGTCCCTCCAAGCCAGTGAGGAAACCGCCACTGGACAGCTGAAAAGGGCAATAAGTAATATCAGAGCAGGGCCGAGCCTGGCATTCTCGGTGATGGGGCAGTGGGAGATGCAGGGAGGAGACTCAGTTGGTGGCCATAACTGAGTGATTAGGAGAGCTGTCCTGGGGAGAGAGACTTTGAACTTGACCTAGTGGGCAGATATACAGTAGGGTGGGATGGATCTGCGGGGCAGCTGACACGTGTGCAACTGTGTGATGGATGGGCAGAAAGGCACGTGCAGCATGGGAGCCCAGGCACGCTTTATTTTGAGCACAGGCTGGTTGTCACCACCAAAGTGACACCGGGCTTGAAAGCCAGACCCTTAAGTGCCTTGAATGCCTAGGCAGTGTGGCTGCCAGAGAGAGGTGCTGAACTTGAAACTGCACCTCTCCGGTGGCTTCCCGGGAGCACTTTCAAGCCCGCTGCTCTCGCCAACCCTGGCAGTCGTTTCTGGGCTC